GGGGGGGGGGGGGAGGGGGTCTCCGAGGCAGTAAGAGTGTCTGCAGCTTTATATATATATTTATATATTATATATATGGACCAAAGAGGCAGGTCGGGCCTGTACAAGTATACAGCCTAGTCAGGCAAGGTAAGTATTGTAACAAGGCAGTCGAATCAGCTGTGTCCACCAGAAAACAGTCTGGAGCTTATACAGAGTGTTAAAAGCTATTTTAAACATGAAAAGTATGTGAATTAACTGGATAAACTATGATTTAAAAGAACAATAATATGCTAAATATTATTCCCCGTGAAGTGTAAAGTGTTAATGAAATGGATATTTTACAGTTGTAAACATGGGCTGGACAGCTTTGTTTTTCCTCGGTAAGAGATATATCTATATATGTACATCTTTATGTAATGTTTATACTTTTAGATTGAAACTAGACACTAGACAATATTTATCAGATACTATACTATACACTAGACAATATTTATCAGACACTAGACAATATATATCAGATACTATACTAGACACTAGACAATATTTATCAGATACTAGACACAATTTAACAATATCTAGACAAATATAGTCAATATTTATCAAATCAATAACACCATTTGACAATTTCTAGACAAATATAGACAATATTTTACAAATACTAGACACCATTTAACAATATTTTGACAAATATAGACAATATTTTACAAATACTAGACACCATTTAACAATATTTTGACAAATATAGACATTTTCTTCAATATTTGTAAATAAATACGAGATTATTTATACGGGTGATATGGTGGGGCGGGGGCTCTTATAGCTCCTCTTTTCTCAGGTGAATACGGAAACATACAGGGCTAAAACAAGGATTAACTAAATCTAATCGAATATGTTGGTTATCTCACTTTTTGTTCTGTTCTTGTTTATTATTTGTGTTTTTCTTGATGCTGATACTTTTTACGTATTTTTGTTATAAGTATCTTGTGGAGCCCCTGGTCAAAATATTAGTACGTTGTGGAGCCCCTGGTTGAAATATTAGTATATTGTGGAGTCCCTACTCAAAATATTAGAATATTGTGGAGCCCCTGGTCAAAATATTAGTATATTGTGGAGCCCCTGGTCAAAATATTAGTATGTTGTGGAGCCCCTGGTTATAATATTAGTATATTGTGGAGCCCCTGGTTATAATATTAGTATATTGTGGAGCCCCTGGTTATAATATTAGTATATTGTGGAGCCCCTGGTTATAATATTAGTATATTGTGGAGCCCCTGGTTATAATATTAGTATATTGTGGAGCCCCTGGTTATAATATTAGTATATTGTGGAGCCCCCGGTTATAATATTAGTATATTGTGGAGCCCCTGGTTATAATATTAGTATATTGTGGAGCCCCTGGTTATAATATTAGTATATTGTGGAGCCCCTTTTTAAAATTATTTGCATTTTGTGGAGCCCCGGCCTAGTCAAAATATTATTATTTTGTGGAGCCCCTGGTCAAAATATTAGTATATTGTGGAGCCCCTAATCAAGATATTAGTATTTTTTGGAGCCCCTACGCCCCCTAGTCAAGATATTATTACTTTGTGAAGCCCCTGGTCAAAATATTTGTTACTGTGACACCCATTAAACAGTTGAATAGGAAGACGACTGTTAGACTCAAGTTGTAACTTTAAATAGTCTAAAGAACCTCAATTACTCATAAAATTGCTAAGTGTTATGGCTTCACTGTAAATATTTTAGATCTTTTCAATTTACAAAGATTAGATTTTTCAATCAAAATTCTGCAATTCAATAATGAGTCAAAATAAATAGAAAGAGAAAAAGATTTTATAAAATTACAAGAATAAATTTTAGAATTTTTAATGTATTTAATATCATTCTTGAAATTTAAAGAAATCAAAAGATATGTTAATTGAACAATAATATCATTCTTGAAATTTAAAGAAATCAAGAGATATGTTAATTGAACAATAATATCACTCTTGACACTTAAAGAAATCAAGAGATATGTTAATGGAACAATAATATCATTCTTGAAATTTAAAGAAATCAAGAGATATGTTAATCGAACAATAATATCACTCTTGAAANCCCCCCCCCCGTCTTCTCCTACGTAGCCCCTGGTCTCCTAAATGTTATATCTATCATTGTATCCAATGTTTATTGATTTCTCATGATTCGATGAGTCTAAGAGAGTATGAGAGTATGAGAGTATGAGAGGCTGTTTTATAGTGAATTGAGGTAAGAATAGAACTAATTACCCTTAACCTTTTTTCTATTACTTTTGCCAAGTCCCCCTACATCCCCCCCTCCACCACCTGCAACTTGCACTAACCTACGAGCGCTGCAACTAGCAAAATTTAGGTGAATATTGCTAAAAATTTGTGTAGTTTTTAAAATAGTCAAATCTATTGAATAATTGATAGTTTATTAGGCACATAAAAACACTTTAATGAATTCCCAGATTATAGATAAATTGTAAATATATATGCATGCATTAGATTGTAAACCGATTACCAATTGTTTCGTTGTTTTAATAAAAATAAATAATGGGTCAAATTTATGCGCAGTTCTTATAACGATTTTATGACTTCTTTTTGATGAAAGTTGATTTATTTGGTTGCAAATGAGAAATTCAGAACTTTTTTTTCTTCTCAAGCTTTTCATAAGTTTAGATTAAGTAGTTTTTAATAAAAAGAATTATATTGACAAAAGTCAGCAAAAGAAAAAAACGTTTCTTCAAAATAACAGCTGAAAAACTTATCATTTAACTTTCAAATTCATTTATTTTGTAAAAATAACATAAACAATCTGTTAAATACCTTGAACTCTTTTGTTTTACAAGTTTTCATAAGCTTAGGTTTAGTAGTTTTTGAGAAAGTGAATTAGATTTGAATACCTCTTAATAAACTCTTTAATGATAAGCTCTTTAATGATAAGCTCTGACAGTAAAGCTTACTTTAATTTATAAACTTTTTAAATGGCAGGGATAGGCAGACGGAATACTTATTATAGGAAAGGCTTGAATGTGCGTGAAGTGTCATGCATACTCTATAGGTATATGTAGATGACCTTGAATAAACTGAAGAGAAGAGAGCGTGGGGATAGTTTGGGGGGGGGTGGATAGGTTACATAAAATACAAGATGCCCTTTGATTAAATATTCCCGATACGCTTGTTAGAAACATATAAATACATTTCTTCAGATTAGTTAGTTCTGCCATTATTTCGTGGATATGAAGATATCCGTGGAAAATTCAAGATTGGAAATTGAATTTCAGTTCAAATCAAATATACTTGACGTTACAAAGTATATTGGATAAAACGCGCTAGATGACAACTAATTGACTATTAAGTCAGGATTTAGGAAATGGTTTATGACTAAATAGCTTTAACAAACGTACTGTGTTTCCCGTTCTATTTCAATTATTTTAACATTAAGAACCACATGACAACTTTACAATACAGGGTGTCCTATACATCAGAGTCATTCTGTAATTTATATAGGAGTTTCCTTGCGCAAAAATTTTTTATTCCGTTTTAGAAAAGTTGGGCCAAATTTTTTAAGCAAGTAATTATTTGTGTATGAAATATAACAAAAACATACAAAATTAAGTGCTTCAGTGTACGAATTTAATGAATTTAAGCCACGTATCAAATCCCCCAAAAACCGGTTTTAATTGAGCGCCGGCTTAAATCTTGAAAAATTGAATACAATTTTAAGTGGAACCAGCCATATTTGAGCCGCGGCTTAAATTTAAGCCGCAGCTCAAATTCTTTAAATCCGGCCTCAGGAAAAAATATTTAAAAACCTCCAAGAAAAGAGGTTGTGGGAATATTTTCCCACAATTTTAAAAATAGTGAAAATGAAAAATACATATTTATTGTTTACATTATATTTAATATAACTGGTGGTGGATTGTTACTATTTTTCGACAATGATCTAACAACTTTTTGACATCCTTTTAACTGATGAAAATTTCAGTTGTAAAATTTGTTCATAATTTATTTCAAATATTTTAATTTTTGTTTTGGTCCTTAAATGAAATGAACCAACTATTGTTTTTCTTATTATCCTATTTATTCTGCGTCAACCTCAAACCTAAGATTTTAGGTATTTTATCTGATAGTTGTTGGGGAGGATTTTTCTTGCCTGGTTCATTGGATCCATAATTTACCAGATTGTTATTTTAAAATAGAACTGGGATGTATATGTATTTAAGACTACTGCCACATTTTCTCATCCTTGCCACATCCAAATAAGTTCTCATCCTTGCCGCATCCAAATAAGTTCTCATCCTTGCCGCATCCAAATAAGTTCTCATCCAATAAATTGAATTCTTCTAAAGAAATAAACTCTTAAGTTTCTACAGTCTACTTTTTCTTTGATCCGGTCAGAAGGGTTAAAATCTTCAGAAAAATGATTTAGTTGTGGCTCTGATGAGAAAATAAAGAGAATATGGTTTGGATGCAGAAATACTGTGGTTGCCTTGCCTTCCACCCCTTTATATATTAAATATACTCCACGCGTATGGTTTGCAGATCGCACTCAAGGATTAGAAAAATATGTCGTGGAGTTTCATTATTCTTTTGTATATTCGATCTTATCAATAACTCAAAGTTTACAAGTTTTTAGATTTATAGGTTTCAAGTAGTTGCTATGATTGGTACCCCCCCCCCTACCTTCGATACTCGTTGAGTCTAAATGTTTCTTAGTTTTGTTACTAAACATGGGAAGAGTATAGTTTGAAATGTTGCAACAATTTCAAGACAGGGTTGACTTTGAAGTGTCGCAAAATCGTGGTCTTTGATTTTCTCATTCCAACTCAATAATGCTTTTTTTGTCCAAGACATGTATATTTTTGAACATATAAAGCACTTATTTTTAGCTAGAGTCTGTGTGAAGTAATTGGCATAATTTTCATCAGATTATGCGGGAGATCTTACAACCTTTAAATCCCAGTGCATTCACTGCAGTAATATTACATTGCAGAAAGCACAGATAGATTAGATAAATACATTTTGTTTATAATACACTAATAAACTATTGCCATTATACGCTTAGGCATTTACAATTCACAATTTACAATTTACAATTTACAATTTACAATTTACAATTTACAATTTACAAATTAGTTTAGTAAAAAATAAACTATTGCCATTATACGCTTAGGCATTTACAATTCACAATTTACAATTTACAATTTACAATTTACAAATTAGTTTAGTCAATAATAAACTATTGCCATTATACGCTTAGGCTTTAACAATTCACAATTTACAATTTACAATTTCCCATTTACAAATTAGTTCAGTAAAAAATAAACTATTGCCATTATACGCTTAGGCATTTACAATTTACAATTTAGTTTAGTCAA